ATTCATAGCCAGTGACGCCGATAAAAATTAACAAACGAAGAATAAATTACCCCATGCACAGAAAACGATATGAAAAGATTGGAAAAAACGGATGACGAATGCTAGCTAAAAATGTTTGTGAGTAATGGGGAATTTTTATAGTCACTTTTATGATGAAATTACGGGCAACTTTGTGAAATCAACGCTTGCGTGTAGGTCATCTGAAGTGATTGACAGCACAGTAACCCGTGGAGCGAGCGTTTTGGTTACAAGAACGGTTTCCAAGTGAAGTGAACAGAGATGTTGGAAGGTGAGAGAGAGTTCATGGGTACCTACCAAATGCATTTGTTTTAAGGTACATTGATTCGTACATATGATGTAGTGATTGCGCAGCATTGTGCATATAGGTTATATATGTTCTGCCGCTATTTGGGTATGATATGGTTTGACGTTCTGTGTAGGCCTTGGATTATTAATATTTCTTATCCATGTTTTATGACACATACCATTTGTACATATACACTGTAACTGGTAATGTCCATAACGGCTGTTTAAAAATAGTACAGAATGTTTGCACACATCATGTAGCAGTAGTAAGAGTTGCATGTATATTAGTCTTACCATTCAATCAGAAGATAAAGATTTATTATTTTATATGAGACGACAATCGCATTCTGACTACCAGCATTGAATTTATCTGTGAAGCATGTATTTTCCAAATGAAAAAATTAGCATCATCACTTTCGACATGTCATTTCCGTGTTGTTCTAAAATAGTTTTTTTAAGGTCACCTTTGTGGTTTTGTTTTCTGTACGTTTATGCAAGTAGAGAGATAGATACATGTAATTTTTCCCACGTGATTACAAAACATAATTTGTACATATGCTGAATGTATAAACATAAGTGTATATTTTGGCCTAACCACCCACAGTGTTTTCAATTGGCAACCAAATAAATCGCCCTCATATATAAAGGACAATTAAGGGTACAGGCGTTGCCAGGCAGGCAGTCAATACTATCGGGTAAGAAGTGGTGATGAAGGGCACGTAGGCAAGTTTCTAGAATTCTCTAGCTACAACAGTCTCCCTAACGTAGTGAACTTGTTTTCCTTTGACCTCTTCTGTGTTGTGGTATGGGGGATTTTATGAGGTTATAGAGCTTTTTGGAAATTTTCTTTTTCATGTGGAAATTCAGTAATTCTTTGTGTTTGTCTGAACAAAGGATCAGCAAGGTAAATATTTGGAATTTCCAAGGTTTCAATTCCTACGTCGGCTTCTCAACTGTGCAGCAGGTTTCGATTGTTTCCGAATGTCAAAGTGGAAAAGAAAAGGTGTCGTGAGGACCATTCTTAGATGAAAACAAAGCTGTGTGACAAACACTTCAAGTGTTCTCCATTTATAATATTCAGTGAAGCCTAAAATAGTGAAATGAATTGAATAAATGGTTTGAAATGGCGATATGAAAATATTTGGGGGGAAAAACGGCTGCCTAGTGCAGTTTTGTTAGTAATGGGAAATTTGAAAATCTTAAGTTGCGAAATCGCAAGACAACTTTATGGAATCAACGCTTAAGTGTAGACCACCTTTAAGTGTTTAACAATCCAGCGTCTGTGGTGCGTTTTGGTAATAAGAACAGTTAAAACGTGATGTGAACAGAGATATATAGGAAGGTCAGAGAGTTTTAAGTTCTCTGCAAATGTGTTTTGCTTAATGAATGTAAGTCTGTAGATATCATGCGGGGGTCACGTGGACACCACTGTGTTGTCAACAAGTATGTGCATAGTAGGTTGTTCATGTGTTGAATGTCTGGCATAAATAATGAGTTTGTCGTATTTTATATATCAACATGTAAAGGAGTTTTCATTGAAGGTCGATCTTCATATTGTTTGACATTGAAAAGATGATCCATATCTTCCTCACCATACGCATAAAACGGTAGTCAAAAATACATCTAACACTTGTATTTATCATGTTAAAAGAATGGCAGAACAGGTACTTGTTAAGTTGTACTTATCAGTGAAGAGGGGAGGGCGATAAAGTTTATATGAAAGATTAAGGCACAGGCTTTCACAAGTCCTCCCTAGTGTCGACTGAAGTGTCGTGGCCAAAGGTCCTTTACGCCATCTTGCGTTGCATACTGAATTTATATGTCAATTACTACTGGTGTAATGTGATGTAGGGGTGATGTACTACGAGGGGACGGAGTTTTTAAAATTTTCTTTTTCACTGTGAGAACAAAAACCTATAAGGCAAATAATATGAAATTCTAAAGATTCAATTTTACTGTGGGCGTTTCTGTTTGTACGGTTAATTTCTATTGCTCCGGCACGTTGGAGTGGAACATAAGAGGTCATGCTTTGGTTAATGCAATTCTGGCAAATATTAGGTGTATTATTTGTATTGATTTATAGCCAGCGAGGCTGTAAATCGATAAATAAATGAGTAATAGAGATAATGTATGCACTGAAATAGCGATACGCCAGAATTTCGAAAAAACAGATGAGTCATGTTGGCTGGAAATTTTGTTGGTGGGGGAACTTTTCTAGTCACTAAAACTGCGAAATCGTCAGACATATTTTTGAAATCAGCGCTTGCCTGTAAATCATTTCAAAGTGGTTAGCAACAGAGTACCTGTGGTGCGTTTTAGTTACAATTACGGTCTCCACGTGACGCGAAAAGAGATGTTGGAAGGTGAGAGAGGCCGTGGTTGCCTAAGAAAGAGTTTGTTTAAATGTGCTTGTACATATGATGTAGTGGTGTGGAGCTGCCGCTATATATCTAACATGTGTGTATAATGATTTGACAAGTTATGTCTGCCTAACATAAATATAATAATAATAATAATCTTTTTATTATCATTAGTGTTTATACACTTGTTATGGGAAAATACAGTTGTTGAGTACTTACATATTTAAAAGACGTCACCGACCATCTGATAACAGTTCCCACACTATGATCAGAATACAAAGTAACACGTCCACGTCTATAGGAACAAGAATGCGTAAAACGAGAATTTATATTAGGGATGGTATTAAAAGAAGATATGGGAATTTTGTCGTTTATGAAACTAACTTTACATTATTTCCCCAGCGACTAATTATTATATTCATGGCGCAGGGGATTTTTCAGACGTGAACGTTTGCGTCCCTATTTCCCACTCGCCATATGGATTTTCTTATACAGGCACAAGCACACTGTGCATATCAGACATATAATCTGAGCTAAAATTTAAAACAAGCAATGCGTGAATGTAAGTATACAGCCGCTGTGAAGGAAAAGTGAACTTGTACTTTTAGTACTGTGGTACCGTGAATATTGACTTAATTTTGTTCATTGATTAACCTTAATTATTAAAATGGCATTTCTTTATTTTTGCAGTGATAACAATCGTATCGGGCAGCATGTCGGAGGAGGAGAAGAAGGCAGCCCGGGGCCTGGAGGTCAGTCCCGGCGTATCAAACACTGACGAAGGCACCCAGGAGGCCATCAAGATGATGGTGGCCCAGTTCCAGGAACAGCGACCCAGGGAGCTGAACGCGGTGGAAGCGGAGTGGGGTCCCCCTAGAGGTAAGAACCACTCAACATAACTAAGCTACCTTTTATAGAGTGACAAACCTGTGTACAATTATAGCAGAATGTTAAATAGGATTTAATTGTACCATAATTTATCTCCAAGCGAGCCCAGAGAGAAAGGAAAACTACAATGTACCTCGTTTGTCAAACTTAATGAATAGCCGACTCGCATATAGTTAATGGGCTTCCCAAGTGTCAGTAGTTTACTCGTATCTGTGAGGTTTTGGTTTTAACTTCTACACAAACACCTCATCACGTTCCACTTTTGTTTTCAGTGAAAAAGAATGAAAAGACTCAAGAGGAAGTGAAAGCGAAAAGCGATGCCAGTGCAGTTGAGAAAGAAGGACACTGAGCAGCAGTGACAGTTGCTTTATGTACGATGTACGTGTCTTTACAGTAAACTGAAGCAGGAATGAACGCTGTGCACTCATTAATATACATGTAACAGTCCGTGCCTCGCCATAACTTCGCATTAGCAGGTTTCTTCATTAAATACATCGGAACGTCTCATGTACCTATATATCATGTTGATGAAAAATTAAACTTGTACATTCATCAGTTGACCTAGTCAACAATGACATTTCACGTTGGAATTGGTGCTTGAAATCTAATAGTCAAAGCCAGGAGTTGACTTGACTGCGGTTATAAGAAATGAATAATTTCGTGGATGTAATAAATTGTTTTTTACAACAAAAATCTCAGCGTGTTTTAGTGTAATCATTCAAGAACAGTGTGTGTGTGTGTGTGTGTGTGTGCGTGTGTGTGTTTGTGAGAGAAAGAGAGAGAGAGAGAGAGAGAGAAAGAAAGAGAAATGAACAAATAAATGGTGTAAATGGATGATTGTTGTTTAAAGCTTGAAAAGTGTTAGTTTGCTTTGACTATGTGTAGAACTGCCGACAATATCGTTAAACCATCGTTCTGTTGCTAAAATAGATCATTTAAAAATTTAATGCGTTTTCTTCGTAACTAAATTCACAAAATTCCCATAATTTGGAATAATGAAAACGTGTAAAAAGATGAACAACAAAAATTGTTTCGTTTGAGTTGAATTCAAAGTAAAATAAAACTCCCTGAGTAAGAAAAATCCCTTTTGCTTAATATTCAAGTTTTGATTCTTTTAAGAGAAATCCCCCGATTGCGAATTTTTTTCTGACTAATTGCAGATCAATACATAATGCAATGCGTCCTGTAAAGCACAACTGTCACAACTGTAGCAATTCGGCGCCATGACAGACTACATAGACTGATCATAGATTATATTTAGTTCACTCATGATGCTCTGTAATGATTGGGATTACAACATATTGTTCAAAATGGCTATCGGTTGAAGCAGCATGTTTCTGACTGAAAATAAAAATCGTTTGTTATCGAAAGATGCCTATCCTGGTTAAAATTTGCGGAGTTCTTCTGTGAAAAAAGACTTGTAAAGATAGCTGAAGTTGACCTACTTTCAAAATATGTTGGCGGTAAGCGAGTTTCAGGAAGTGAATTGTCTATTTCATTTAATTCCACACTTAAACAATGACGCAGGTTCATGATGTAGTACTCAATGTTTGCGGTAATAATCTTGTTTGCTATAAATTTTTAAGGACCAGCAGAAAGACCTTGGTAGGCTTCAGTTGCCCCTGGAAGAGTTGGAAGGCTCAGTTGAGGTTTTTGCCTCTCGTTTGGCCTAACATGCTACGCGGATGACGAGGCTTCGTAACACATTGTGTTAGGAACTCTAGTTGATAAAAAAATTAATCCACATCCTGGGGAAACTGTGTGTATTTAGGAGCACCCTGTGGTATATTTTTGGCATTTAAAGCCCTCTTGTACCCGTTCACGCAACAGTTTGATAGCGTATTTGCTGGTCTGTTCAGAATGAGTCAAGCTGATCTAGCCAGTGTGGACTAACTCTACGGAGACTGTAGCTGAATGCAACTAGATCAACAAACTAACACATTTCCTATTGTTTCCAAAGTACTTCAATAATCACCAGCTTTGAACATTGAACCATTTGATCCAAGGATCAATTACGGTCAAACCACTTGAATGCTTGTTTCGTAATCCCCATGGGGAATCTATTGAGTGTCTTATCGGAAATTAAGCGATAAGCTTTTTAGTGGGTCCCCATATTTGATCTGCGGATCTGTATTAGTCTGTTGTTATGAATGCACTCTTGTCTGGTAATCTGATTACATTCAGCATGAGTCCCCATAGAGTTATTGTGCGCTCAAGCTAATGCACACTAACTCATTCTGAAAGGCCCTTGGTCTTTTTATTTAAGCTATGTTCTACTTACACACATCATTTCTAAATTATGCTACATACTGTTTTCATTTGTGGCCTCGAGAGTTTCTAAGGGTGCTTTCCCAGAGATTTAGATCGATCTAAAGATTAAGATTTAGATCGACCTAACTCCCTGGGGGTTCACGCTAAATTGCAGTCAGCCGAGCGGACACCATAGTTAATTACCCCCTTACAGCTTTTAGTAGGCGGGACAGACGCTTAAGTCGGCCAAGCTGACAGTAATCTAGTGGGACTCCCCACAGGGATAGATCGATCTAAAAATCTATGGAAATGGGGTGTAACATGCAGGTTATGAGGCATTGTGACCTGCATGGCATGTAAGCCCCAAAAACTGAAGCAATGACCCTCACGAAATTCATGTGTTAGTATTTCTATTATATATGATTTAATTTAATTTCAAGGAGGCCTACCGGTAACTGTAAGGCAAGCAGATGAATCTTTTCCAACTTAAAGTCCAGTCACTGGGAAAACTGTTAGCTGTAGCTGTACATTGTTGAGGAGATGAGAGCTCCTGTTGGATATATGCAAAATGGCCATTATTTTACACTTTCTGGTACCAGTATCTTTCACATGTTAGCACAGCATTACCACTGCATATTAGAGACTGTATGTAGTAGATAGAGGAGTGATAATGCATGGATTTTCTTGCAAGTCCATGCCAAGCTTAATATGAAGGGTCTGCACATGATTTTTTTCATCTTCGGATTTGAAATATGGTGTGGTGATGGTCACATACTTAGTCTAGTATCTGAGTATGAATAAAGCATTTTAATTGTAAAAGCTATGTCCTTAGGAAGAAAAGTTTACAAATATACATGTCTTGGGGACTTCATGTTTGCCAAATGTATCCCGCACGAAAACGCAGTAGATGCTCCAGCGCAGTAGACTACTGCAATCATACTGCAAATATGCCTCAAATCTGCTTCGCATTGGGAGCTAATTAGCATATTTGAAACATGCTTCTATCATGCTGCTAATCTACTGCATTAATGCTCCTCCTCTGTACAAGACTACAACCCTATGTAATTTTTGAAGTAGAATTGCAGTAGGGTATACTGCATTTCTACTGCAAATATGCTCCACACCACTACTGCGTTAATGCTTCTTTGCTACTTCGATACTACTGCATTTTCGTGCGGGATTTCTCATAAATTAGTCAAGTTTCCCAACATGATCTTCATTTCTACATATGTAGACAGAAATCTGGAGTTTGTTACACAATAAGTAAAGGAGCTGAGAGTTTAAAATTTTGGTTTCAAGGTTGTTCCAAGCAGAGAAAAATGCATTAAAGTATGTAAAGAGATTATTGGACAACCAACATTTGCAATATTAGAAATAAAAGTTGATACAATGTATTTTTTAAAGCATTCATAGTAGTAAATGTTGGCAGAATGGGGAACAAGAGGGGGTTTGGGGAAAAATGCAACAATAATGTCCAAATTATATTACAAGTTGTGATAGTGATATATATATATCACACAGCATTTGGAGATGATGCTGAGTGCTTCTATCACATACTTCCTTACTTGCATACTACTGGCAAAGAGTTGAATAAATTAACCACAACTTACTGTTGATTCAAAATTTTGCAAAGACCTCTATAGGTGGAAACAGTTTTAAAGTTGGACTTGAATTATTGAGCACTTTCATACATTTTATGTGAAACTTTGTTTTTACTGTTTCTAGGTGACAAAACATTATCCATATGGTAGCACTAGCTGATCTTTGTCACGAGTCACCACAGCTTACTTCCTGATGCAGTAATTGAGAAGCAGCATATCCATTGTAAATTAAGTGGAAATCCTTAGACTACTCTCCTGGCCATTCCCTGGGCCAGACCCCCTTCCACTCCCTAGGCCACTCCCTAAACCACTCCCCTTCCACTCCCTAGGCCACTCTCTAAACCACTCCCCTTCCACTCCCTAGGCCACTCCCTAAACCACTCCCCTTCCACTCCCTAGGCCACTCCCTAAACCACTCCCCTTCCACTCCCTAGACCATTCCTCAAGCTTGACACTCCCTAGACCATTCCTCCTCCACTCTCTTGGCCACTCCCCCAGCCACTACCTAGACCACTCCCACTGTCACTCCCTGGTTCACTTCCCTTGCTACTCCCTTTGCCACTCCCAAGACCACTCCCCCAGCTACTCCCTTGACATTATATAGACAACTCCCCCTTCCCTTCCTTGACCAATCCCCTAGCCACTCCGTAGACTACTACTCTGCATCTGCCTTGGCCACTCCCTAGACCACTCCCCCTGCCTCTCCCTCAGCACTCAGTTGACCACTTCTTGTGTCACCCCCAAGAACACTCCCTGCAGCCACTGTATCTTCCACCATGCAGGAGTACCTGGAGAAGAAACTGACCACAGCACATGATACTGGGAGCAGAACCAACTTCAAGGAAAAGGCGATAGGTTTTGTCTCTGCAGTAGGATTTGTATGTCTTCTGCCTTTGTTGCATATAGGTAATTTTATCTTACTAGTACATATACCTAAAACACAAACATACAGTACTTACTGGGTGAGTTATGAAGTAATTTGTTTTGTAGGTTGAGGAAAGAAACTATGCGTCCATGATTACTAGTAGTAATTGTAAAGTTATATATTTTTTACCCTTCTTTAACACACAGTATGTATTTTCCAGGTGTATTTTTGTAGCATATATGCAACACACATACAAACAAACATTTTCGGTGTATGTACAAGAGTATATGTTCATTTTCCAGGTGTATTTTACAAGCAAATATGTAATACACATAAAACGTACATTTCCCAGGTGTATTTTACTAGCATATTTGTAATACACATAAACACTTACATTTTTCAGGTGTATTTAACAAACATATTTTGTAATACACATAAACACATACATTTTTCAGGTGTATTTTACAAGCAAACATATAATACACATAAAATCTACATTTTCCAGGCATATTTTACAAGCAAATATGTAATACACATAAAATGAACATTTTGCAGGTGTATTTTACTAGCAAATTTGTAATACACATAAACACATACATTTTTCAGGTGTATTTTACAAGCATATTTGAAATACACATAATCACATACATTTTTCAGGTGTATTTAATAAGCATATTTGTAATACACATAAACACATACATTTTCCAGGTGTATTTAACGAGCATATTTGTAATACACAAACACATACATTTTTCAGGTGTATTTAAAAAGCATATTTGTAATACACATAAACACATACATTTTCAGGTGTATTTAACAAGCATGTAATATTATTTGTAATACACATAAACACATACATTTTTCAGGTGTATTTAACAAGCATTTGTAATACACATAAACATACATTTTTCAGGTGTATTTAACAAGCATTTGTAATACACATAAAGACATACATTTTTCAGGTGTATTTTACAAGCATATTTGTAATACACATTAACACATACATTTTTCAGGTGTATTTAACAAGCATTTGTAATACACATAAACACATACATTTTTCAGGTGTATTTAACAAGCATTTGTAATACACATAAACATACATTTTTCAGGTGTATTTTACAAGCATATTTGTAATACACATAAAGACATACATTTTTCAGGTGTATTTTACAAGCATATTTGTAATACACATAAACACATACATTTTTCAGGTGTATTTTACAAGCATATCTGGGTTCCTGACAAGAAGAAGATCATCGACAGATATGCCTGCGACTGCAGTTGTTTTGACACAATATTCAGAGGTGAGGCAAAACAGATTTACTATATTAAGATATAGTAACATTGTTTAAACTATTAAAGTTGTACATGCATATAGGTAATGACTTGATCTTTTCAATGGGGAACATTATCTATCTTTCATAGATAAACTTAAACAATTATTAAAAATATGTTTCTGTAGCATTTGTGGTGCTTTTACCACAAAGAATAGAATAACAAGGATACCTGCTTTGATATTTTCTTGCTACCATTCAAAAGAAATGTTCTAATTTCAACTTAAAAAGATGCAGAATCTGTGAAATGTGGAATTGCCCCTGCCCCATTGAAAAGATCAAATAATTACCGTTTTATACATAAAACTGTATACAAGCAGCTCTTAGCACCTGTAGAAAGCTTTCTTGTTGACCTCTTATTAAGGTAAAGGCCCATATTGTTTGTGGTACAAATAGTCTTGAATTTTTCATACATGGGGTACACATATACTGGTAGTTTTAAGCAGTATCAAATATTACATATAACTAGACACATTCCTTTAATATATTATATAAAATGTAACATGTCTAGAAAATATTTCTTCAATATGGAATATTGAATATAACACAGGCCTATGTGTTTAGTCAGTATTGTCTGGCAGCTCATAAACATTTCTATTTCTAGGGCGCTATGAATACCCTGTCAGCTCATATAAACATGTCTATTTTAATGCTACGAGTAACACCTTCTATATCTGGACGCTGACTGTGCTGGTGCTGTTCCTGACCTATGATGCCATCAAGTAAGCAAACACCTGATTCTTATCCTTTGTAATTATCTCCAGGGTCACTTGCAGATAACAGCGATATCCAGTTGATGAAATATTTCAGTCATGTCATTATTGTTCACTTTTGTTGCTGGCTATATCATGCGCACACGTGTATGACTAAATGAAGTCATAAGAAAAAGGTGATTTTTTTCATATTTTTGAATAATATTTTAATATTAAAATATGTAATACATACCCGTAATATATTTATTTCATAATTGTGGTGTTCATTTATTACCATGGTAATATGTGGTTTTCTGTCCTTTGTCAAGGTATTTGGTCGGGGTCCTGCGGCGTGGAACATGTCGTAGGAGATGGCTGTTTACCCTCCTAGTATCCGTGTACCCTCACTACTACTCCTGGTGGTCCTACTTCAACTACTGGAACGAGGACTTCTACCAGCATTGGGCACACCACATGCTGTTTGCTGTCACAGAGTTGGTGTCCACGGTTGTTGTTCTGAACCTGTGTGACTCCGGCCACAGGGTGAAGACGTGGAAACTACTGGCAGTCTTCAGTATTAATCTAGCCCACATCCTTATCAGCGGCATAGACCAGTTCATAGAGCACGTGGTTTTCTCTAAGGGGTTTGCCTTCCAGAGTTTGCGGGATGTGGGCCTGATGCTGCCGGATATAGTCCATGTGGCCGTCCCTGTCTGGGAACTGAACACCTGGGCACGCTCTAAACACAGCACTGTCTGGGAACTCTTCTATAGAGAGGAGCTCATGATGGCTGCCCTCTTTATTATACTGTTTTCTATATTTGGAACTATTATTTAACTTTAGACAGGCTACAAAATGGAGAGTTTGAAGAAAGAAAATCATGTCTGCTCTTTTTATTATACTGTTTTTTTATATATTTGGAACTATTATTTAACACTAGACAGTTTACTGGTATATGTTAATTGAGCTGTAAATTATCATTCCATGTAGTATTTATTGGTTGATTTTTTTATTGTCATTAACTGTAGCCCTAGAAGGACTTGATTGGTACATGTAGATTTAAGAATTTTAAAACATTGGTTGGAAATCCGCACCTCGAAAAACTGTATTATAAAATTCTGCTATGAAGATATTAACAAAAATTTTGATTGGATTTGGTGTTTACGGAATGAACTGGAAACAACTGGCTTGTCATTTATTTTTTACGAAAATATTTTAGATAATTCTATACTGTCCTTGATAGAAGAAAGATTGAAAGATAATTTTGGACAAACATTGAAATATCCACAGGGCTTAAGGGCTATTATACCAACATCTTGTTGACAGTTTTGCAGTACAATTCTAGTTGAATAAGCCGATATCACAGAAATACAAGGTATTTATTGGTAAATTTAGACATTCATCGCGTAATCTAGCTGTATAAACTGGAAGGTATACAAATGCAAATATAAATTAAGAACTTAGAATTTATGCAATTTCAATGGTATTGAGGATGAATTTTATTTTATTCTTTAATGCCCTTGCTGCAGTACGATTAGACAGAAATACATAAAAAATTATTTTGGAAACTAAGCATTTTCAGACCAAGTAATTTGTTATCTGTTAACAATGTTTCACAGTTCAACAACTTAGGAAAGTACATAAAATATGCATAGGAATTAAATTTAGCGTCAGTCTGATAATTATTATTATTAGAAGTAGCAATATTGTTGTTGTTTTAACTTTATATTTTTACTGTATTTTATTCTGATGCGCGTAGGGCTCAAGGGTTGAATAAAATTCAATTGAAATTGAGTCGGTCCAGCTCTGCGGGGAATTCTCGATAAAGTGCAATCAGTGGAATCAGCTTAATTGTCTGACTTGCCTCCTCGAGCTGCTTAGAAGTAATTAAGCCAAACGCACACGAAAGGTTTACAGATTTTATTTGAATTACATGACCATGAATTCCAAATTGTAGTCACCCAGTGCACAGCTGTTTTCAACGTCATAAAATATAATTTTGGATTGTGAAATCATTGAATTAACCAAATCCCTTGTGATGTTCATAATTTTCAAGTTGTCTTATACAGAACACAATTCCGCACTTAAGCATTGAATTTACTCCCTAACAAAATGATACCTGCATTCATAACTGCCCAAACTACTTAATTAAGATTGAATTAAATTTTGCTGTCTTTGCGATTAATGAAACGGTAATCGTAACCTTTTGCTCTACAACATGAAACAGTCAATCACAACATTAAAAAAGTTTTAAAATTCTAGAACTATTTACCGAATATAAAATGACATTTAATATTGCGTGAAGTACTAATTTTAAACCCAGATTGCATTTGCCTGTTTCCCTTCCAGCTTGGGTGGGTTGGGGGGGGGGGGGGGGGGGACAACAATGGTAAAAACATTTTAGAAAATTTAGAATGTTTCCTTTTTTCTGACCACTTGGGTGCTGCGCCGACAATACATTGATCTGCAACGAAGCCGCTTACGGCTACCGCACCGAGACTCAAGGTTACTTTTCTTTTTCGATAAAACGTTTTTTTTACTTGACCTGGAGGTCATGTGGGAGAAATGGCACTGGCGTCCTCACGTAATGTAAACATCGAAGTCCGTAGCCACGCACGATGTCAAAAAAAAAAAAAATAATAATAAAAAACCAAGATCGTATACGGTTTAATCGTACGGTGTCTTTGCAAATGTAATACCGGGTAGGTTTTAATATCGACAAACAATAAATCCTTTAAAACATAACTCTAGTGCAGTCATATTATGTGCTTATCCTACTATACATGTAGTTATTTAAGCTAGCGCTGAATTTAGTTAAAATCCTGAAATTAGCTAACTTACCTAATTAACTAAATTTACTTTACACCAAATGTAATCCACAATGCTCAATGTACTATGAATTATACTATTCAAGTAAATTGGCCAGTTTCTGGAATATAATATAACATGCAACTTTGCCTTTTGCAAATTGTCGACCTTTGCACCAATACAGCGTCTACTTTTTATTTGTCAAATTGAAAATAATATCACTTCGATCATGAAAATGTTTGTTACGTGTACAAGTAATGTTCTCTCAAAGATCAATTTACTACACGTATGTTCTCAGGCATACACCACAAGACATTGTTGCTGTTTAAACAGTGAATCAAATGAACCAATTAGTAAAACAAATCTAAACTACTATCCTGGACAAGGACCACAGATTGATTTTTCACTAGAAATTCACAGATATGTCTTGGGCTAATTCTATATGCTTTTTACTGAACTGTCCAGCAAGACATTATGTAGGCCTTTGGCATGGCCTCTTGTATATAGCTCTAGTCTGCTGCATGCACGGATTATTTTATACAGAATAAAGCGTCTTGATTAAAAGAAAAAAAACGCAAGCCTCTGCCAAGAAGGTTCAATTATCATGATTAATTAATCAAATAAAGAACAGCCACCAAAATTTTATCATTTCTAAGTTGACCTATTTCTGATTGTCGTGAAGAGTTTATCAAAATGTCTTCATTATGTTTTGTAAACTAACAAACAAACCAAGGCCAAAAACGGAGGCCATAGCGTGCACACATCATTGAGATGAATTTTTAGTGAATAGTAAAACTGTAACTGTTTTTAAAACATAATCATAATTAAAAACGCTAAACTACAAAACAACAATTAAAAAACTTAGATATCCATGTTAGGATTAATTATGGCCAAAGTAGTGCCCGATCCTATATCTTTCTTTAAATGTTTTTACCCATAGCTAGAAATCCCACGCCGCGGCCACCAGCGCCATTAACATTAAAATTGTAACGTTACCGACAGGCATATATCCTCGGCTCTGCTTCGGGGTTGAGAGCGTGGTCGCTTCATGTAATGGGGGCGCGGAGCCGTGGTTCGAGGCGTTCTTCATGCAGGCAGAGAACGATCCTGAACGTATACCCACTGGCCCTCCGGATATCTCCAACTGCACGTTTTGCAGAGCATTTTCCATCCATCCTTGTACTTGGTCAAAAACGTTGCGAGCTTCTTCGTAGAAGGCTAGTCTTATGCGAAGAGTGACTAGTGTATGGACGACAAAGGTGATAGACGTGTTATCCGCGCTGCGTGTCTCCCTACAGGTATGGAAAAGTGCCTGCACTGCTCTCAGAACAGCCCACAATCGACCATCTCTTTGGATATCAATACAGCCATCTCTTGGTGTTGGAGTCCAGCCACACGGTTCAAAATGTAAGACAACTGTCGACCGCACCACTGTGAAATTGTACATAAGGGGGCGGCAGTCCTGGGCATCAGGAACAAATCCAGGGGGGCACAATATCTGGTGATCCACAGGCTGGAAAAAAAAAGCACGTGTGCAGATGTATATTGTGCATGCATAGTTTTTCGCCATACGACCCAGTGCAGCAGTTGACATCCATAAAGCAGGGAAGAAACTTCTGATATTTATATTAGAATATTTAAATGACAAATGCTGGGAATAATTGATGAAGTTATTATTTACAATATTTTATCTAAATGTGATGTCATTATCATCTTATCATTTATGATTATTGCCGTTCGTTTTTCTCACCCTAGTCATGACGTCATCACTCTGTTTCTTGTCTTGATCTCCCACATACAGTAGAGCGCGGAGAGAAAGACCGAAGAATCTTTCTAGTGGCGGTGTGGTGTGATCTGAATAGAACATTTGTGAATCGATTAGTGGACATTTAAGCTTGACAAACATGATCGTGTAGTTTGAACAACTAGAATTATATTTTGCCTTAGGACCGCGATTCACATATCGTAACCACCTGGATCGAACCAACCCTGCAGGGTATTCTCGCTGAAATGTATTCAGTGTAATCAGATTAACTGTGTGACACGCCTCCTTGAACAGCTTTTTAATTAGTTAATTACTCCCTAGCAACTCTAGGAGGTGTGTGAGCCATTTAAGCCTATTAAAAAATGAAACTGCCATTTGTGGTGACCTACATGTAGTATATGCTTCTATTTATAGGCAATTTAAAGCTGCCACAAAACCCAACCAAATGCCACCATAAGGTATCAACAAGGCAGCAAAGTTGTCAAATATACAGACTAAAAGCAGACAATAATGCCACCATAAGGTATCAAAAAGTGTAAACAACAGAGATACCAAAGGACATCGTTTCATGATTTTTTTTAGTAACTGGTTCGATTTATTCCTTAACATGTGGACTATATGTTTGTCTTATGAGAAAATATGAAGTGTTTTAGATTCGCTACCTTGGATTCACGATTTTCACGTACCACTTATTTGATCCTCGATCTGAACAATGGCTGTTTATATATAATACACAATGAAACAAGCGTAAAAACTTAAAGTGACTCTTAATCCCAAGATGCAAAAGGTAATATACCATATATCGGAATAATAATGACTTACATCATATCTCCAAAAAAGCGCGATTTTCTCAGTAGCTCATTTCAGTTTTCCCGTCAATACACAATCAATTGTTGCTTTTTCCAGATTAGAAATGAAAACTAATTTGAACTGAAATTTCACAAACATAAACAGAACACATAAACAGAATCAAAAGATATCGCACACCACAAAGTCAATATCAATTACGTTTAGCCATTTTCGTTTTGATACCCACTATTAGCAATCGAGGGAGAGAAGTAAGCTTAATGAAAATTATTCACGCCAATGATGCACGGTTCTGATATTTTTACATATGGAGTTTCTCATATTTAAACGCACGACTCACCTTCGCAGACTGTGGAATCACCTCTGTAACAGATCATGCAGTGGAAGTTCTTGTAACTGTTATCAACACCGCCAACGCCAACGGGATTGTTGTACGCCATACATGCATCTCTTAAGGCTGAGTGCAGGGGGAGTGGACGAGGAACACGAAGTAGGCTTCCATTGATAAAATTGAACTTGCAAGGACCGAAGTCATCGTTCTCAACTTCTCTGAAGCATGTTCTTAAATTCCATTCCGGTTTTGGTATGAAAATAAAAGTACTTCCCTCTTCGTTGAGTTTTCTTAACAAGCAATCCGAAGAGCTGCAATTTGCAAAGGAGTCAACTGGTACGTATCTAGTTGACTGGACGGCGAGTTCCCATGGTTCCCCTCCATTTTTGATACCATGACAAGTTGCACAGTACTTGTTTCTGAAGGTTATCATTGTATTTGGGTCGGTGACCGGCTGGTGCAACAGCACGTCCTCCGTGAGGCTAGTATTTGAGATATCAGTACACTTGATAAAACTTTCCTCTTCCAGCCAAGACGTTGGACACTGGTCCACCATCCAAAAACGAAGTCCAAAATTATCCACATAGGGTAATGTGCTTTGTCGGTTTTGTCGAAGTAATGCAGGTTTTCTTCTACATGAGCTTTTCTGTACCAGGGAAATGGACCCAGGGTCGACTTGTTTTTTAGCCCTTATCAAAGAAGATGTTTCATTAGGGGATGCAGTCGAGGTGGTGCTGTCAAGTTGATTTTCTGTTACGTTGGTCCCAGGAATCGTTACAGATTGCGTTGTGTCGTGTGTCCTTCTTAATCTGACAGAGGCAGCGCAGACAGTTGCATTCTCTGTCATCCCATAACAGCAGTCACCATACAAGACACACAGAGGGTCGCAGCTGCAGTGGACCTGGATGCTGTATTTACCTTCAGTTGCACAGAGCCATCTATACGGCAACAGAGTTACGTCTGGGAAAGAAGAGGTTTCACTGCTGTTGTCTGATTTTTCCTCTTGGCTAGGTGAGTCCTGTGTGACGCCCATTTGCATTCCACCTTCAACAGTGGACGAATCTTGTATGTCACCTACGTTCATTCCACTCTCAGTAGTGGGTAACTCTTGTGTGACTTCCACGTTCAT